GACCTCCAGTTTGAGCCCGATCCCCTCCGTTTTATGTCTGTCTACAGACAGAAGTGCCGCTTGGCTGCTCCCGCCCTTGATGCGTAAGCAAATTTTTACTTGCACTGCCGTTCATCCTCTATCCTCACCGAGAGCAAGCGTCCTCATCAAGCCTAAGTACACCACTAATTGTCATCAACTTCGCCAAAATTATCCCCGAAACATTTTTTTGTACAGGGTCATAGATTGTGGATTTTCTTAAAAACTGTAGGCAGCTATATATCTGTTGTACGGCGTCCACCAGCTTACTATTTTTCCTGTTGTGGTCGGCGAGGAGGGCAACTGAAATAAGGAAGACGTCTACGACACCATCCCATATCCCTCGTGTTTTACCGCAAGGTCGAACTGTTTGGAGGCGGACTTGGGCACCGAGTTTGATCAACGATTTGGCCTCCCTCCCCCAACGCTTCTTGCGTGGCGTACATACAGTAGCTAGGATGTTTCATGAAATGCTAACCGAAGTTATGAAATACTTTCTACTAAAACATATATAAGTAGAATTACACTCCTAATTTTCCTGCAGAATAATCCGCAGATACTTTGGCCACAACACGATGCCGACATGTTCATTTAGCAGCCTTTTTACAGTGTGTAACCGGCGGAAAAATCGTTCAAAAGCCGGCTTCCGGCCGACCGCTTTCAGACTTTTAGCCCCACCTCAGGTAAGTTACACCAGTCTTTACTGTCTAACGAGCAGTAAAAACGACCTCGTCAACACGCGTCCGGCGTTGTTATTTAGCCTCAGTTGCCTCTTTTCTTGTGTTCCCTCGTCTACTTAGAAAGTAATTAAACCGCCAGAGGGCCCGTAGCCACTATGGTCTTGTGCGCATGTAAAGTTCGGGTCAAGCTCACGAGCTGCTGGCCGCGTTCGCACACTGAACACAGGCGGCGTGCTTTAACCTTTCTCCAGCTTACTCTTCCGAATGACGGAAAAGCGATTAGTCACTTTTCGAATTTTCTAACGGACAAAGATCTCTGGCGTAAGCCTTGGTTGTTTACGGTAGTGTGGCGATACTGCTACTACCACCACCACCGCCACCATCATCATGGGAACCATGGGGGAACCACAGCCGACGCATCTTCGACCGCGTTCCTACCTGCCCTCACGGCGGCCAAGGTCTACTACACCAAACCTCCCTACGGTGGATCTATCTCACCTCCCCTACATCTCTGTTTTTGACGACGGAGCAGCCCCTCCAGACCACGCTGCTCCGACTTCTCCGCCAACCTGGCGGGGCTCCTGATCCAACAAGGGCTACTAGCCAGCCAGTCAGCCATCATCATCACCACCAGTTATGAGCACATTTTAGGCCAAAATCTGTTAAAATCCACTTTGCTACTGTCTAGCGAGTCTACGAGTGAAGCATGCCAGCAGTCCTTTTTCTGCATAGTCAAATCCGACTCATGACTA